TCAAAGTTTCACCATAATTGTTATCAGATTCATTTACCAAATGAACTAAACAATTACCACACTGAAATCAAGGCCCAAAGAATGGTGGGCTCCAAGGGAAGAGCTCAAAGAATTCTGTCAAATGCTGGTCACAAGGGCTGGGAAAGGTAGAAAGCCATGGACACCTTGGTGGTGAGAAATTTTTTCAAGAGACCAAAAGGAGGGCTGGTAAGATGGCTCCATGAGTAAAGGCAGTTACTGCCAAGGTTGATGACCTGAGTTCAATCCAGGGACCCATATGATGGGAGAGAACAGACTTTCACACAATGTTGTCTGACCTTTACAAATGCTGTAACACACACAGATAAAATAAATAAAGAGTTCCATCTCGATTGCTCCAAGTCCTGGGTCTAAAGTATGGCCTGTCTTTAGCAACAAGGTCTTACCTTCAAGGTCTAAATGGCAATCAACATCTGTGGCAATAGCCTGTGCCATTTGGGGGAGCCTCTTAGATTACCCTGACCAACAACTCAAAGGGAGGATTCTCCTGCCTGGCACTGTGTTTTTGTTATATAGCCTTCAGCTATCCACATGCACTTGTGTATTTATTATATGCATATAGTAGGATTTTGAACTAATACATTTCCCTCCGTCTTTTCACACCATTATTTCTCTCTTCTCACTCCCCTTGCATAACCCTCCCTACTTCCTCATGTTAAAGTACTTCCCCCCTTTTCCCTTTCCCCCTTAATAACACCTGTCTCCTACTATCCCCCTCTCTCAACCTTCTTTCCCTTTATCCCCATGGTTCCTTTCCATTTTCATGGCTCCTGAGGTTACATCAGCATATATTCTCACATCTAGGGATTTGGAGCTAAGATTCACAAATGAAAGAGAACATATTTGCTTGTTTTTATGAGTCTGTGATACTCTGCTTAGTATAACAGCTTCTAGTTCTATCCATTTACCTGAAATTTTTATGATTTTGTTTTTCAACCTCTACACATAGGATGAATGCATCTCTCAACTCTCAGCAGAAATGTTTCTTTATTTAGCAGATGGTGATTACCACCCACAATTGGCCAATGTCCAGAGAACAAGAGGCCACAGAGTGCTTATCCCTGAATAGGACACCTATTTCAAACCTCTGCCTCCCGAGGTTCAGGGATCATTGCAAAAGAGGAGGTAGAAAGATTGTAAGAGTCAGAGGATATGGATGACCACAAGGAAACAAGGAGTCTTCCAAGCAGCTGATCAGTTACTCATATGAACTCACAGCAATAGTAACAACATGCATACGTCCCATGCAAGCTCAGACCAGACAAAATCTCAGCCTGAACATGGGGAAGTGGGTAAGAAATCTCAGCCCAACCTAAGGAACTTCTGGCAATTGATAGCTGCTAGGAAGGGAAAAGACCAAGTCTTATATGGTGTACCCAGTGGATGGATCCACACTGAAGGACATTTGGGGGACACAAATCATACTCTGTAGGATATATATATATATATGGGGGTTAGGGGGTGCAGAGAAGGGAGTGGATCTAAATGCCATCAAACTATTGCATGAAAATCGCCTGTCATGAGGAAACTGCTATGTCATCCTTCTGGAAAAAAAAGAGAAAATCACAAAAATACAATTAAAAAATTAAAAATATGAATTAAATAAATATAATTTTAAAACATATTTAAGATGAGCTTTGGAAAAGAGGCTGAAAGAGAATCAACAGGAAAGACTTGACATCAATCTACTTCACAGTCATGTGTGTGGCTGCTTTTGCACACTATCTTTGGGCAAGGCCAGGTGTACTTGGAGTTGTTAACTTATTTTTATTTTCAGTCCATTGTGGACTAACACTTTTATGAAACTCAAATGAATAAAATAATTAATTAAAAATAAAGGCATATAAATTCTTATCTAATTTTTTATTACATTGAAAAGATATTCCATTAATAAAATTATTATAGAGCCAGGTTAAATTGCTTTAAGTTTCTAAATGCTGATTTTTAATTTCTGTCCTTGTCTTGCCTCTAGCTGATCAAAAACTGGTCTCCGACTAGCACAGATCTGCGAGTCACACTTCGAGTAATTTGCACCTCTACAGGTAATGAGTTTGACCACATCGGTGCCTGGACCATGCAAGAAAGACCATCCCCAGAGAAGGGTCACACATGTGATCTTGGGAGCTGCAGGACAACTGTTTTATAAGGTTTTCCTGAAATGCAGATGTGTCAAAAACATCTCTCAGAACAGCTAACAGGGACAGCTAGCCCATAGAGCACAGGAGAACCACAAGACCAGGATGCAAAGTGAGGAGCCAGTCACAGGCTGAGCATCGACCGGGGTGCACTTGCTCAGTCCGGTACAGCTGCCGCAAAAACCATCCAAAGCAAATACAGCTCTCTCTGCAGCAGACTCAACAGAGCAAAAACCAACACCCAGAAATCAATGAGATGACTGAGTTCATCATGTTACACAGCCCACTGTCTTCAAATCCAGGATCCCAAATACAATAACAAATGATACTATTAAGTAGCCCAGGGATCTAAAGCCAAAACCAAATAACTCATTTCTATAAACCAGCTTGATTCTCAGAATTTTCCAGGTCAGCTACAAGAAAGAGTTATGAGCCTCTCTCCTCAGTTGAACTAAATCTCACCCATGTCTAATTGCCTTGCTCAGGGCTAAATCCTTTTTCTCCTCTGTACAGCCAGCTTTCCTTCTGAAACATCTAAGCCAGGAGGCTTCTCAGAGTGAGCACGGCAAACCATGTGGTCAGGTTGAAAGGAAGATGAAGCCTGGAGCCAACACATAAGGGTTTAGGGGCCATCTGCTAGCTGAGCAATCTTAAGACAGTCTAAGCTTCAGTTTCTTCCTCCATAAAACAAGACTTAACAGCAGCCACCTCCCCGGAAATGCAGCTAAAATGTTCAGTCATTTGTAAAAAAGCAATGTAGTTCTTAGTTCTTACTAGTAGCCAAGGGATGTTTCAGCCATGCCTGCTAAACCTTTATCTTTTACAGTTTATTTCTTCCTTGCAATCAAATCACTTTAATATGTCACGTACTCTCTAATGTTCCCAGCACCACTGGTATATGGTTAGGAACAGGCAAGGTCAACCCACCTGGCAACTTGGAAGAGTGGCACCTGAAGGCCCATGAGCAGTAATAGACATGGTGTGACACTTTGGGTGTCACTGACAAGTTCCGTTTATTAAGTCTGTGGCTCTTCTTAACCTGGCTCCCACTGACTCACCTTTTGCTCTCTCTGGCAGGAAGTCACCGCTCTGGGTAGGTGGCATTCATTTTGTCCAGTATTTTTAAAAGGCCTTGCTGTTGCTGCATCCCTGTAAAATGAAAACAGGAGTTATTCAATTCTGTGCTCTGACAGTGTGTTTATTACTACTACAGGTCAGGCTTGGGACTTGGCTCAGGTCCAATGCAGTGCAGCCTTGGACAGATGAGCCTCTCTGAGCTTCTCTCTCCAACTATAGCATAAATATAATGCCTGTCCTGCCTTCTTCACAGATGTAGCATAAAGATGCAATTGATAATGTAAAGAGAATTTTGGAATAACATAAGACATTCTATTTATATATTATTAAATTACCTTGTACAATAGAGAATATTATTTATTCATATTCCCATCATCTTGTCAAAGAAAGAAACAATTTTGTAGGAGTTTCTTGCAATTTAACAACATAATAGCTTTAGTTTTAAAATAAATGAATAAATACTGTCAGACGTTTAAAGGTACATGCCTTTAAACTCGGCATTCAGAAGGCAGACAGAGGCAAGCAGATGACTGTGAGTTCCAGGCCAGCCTGGTCTACATAGTAAGTTCCAGGCCAGGCCTACATAGTGAGACCCTATCTCAAAAGGAGGATGAGAAGGAGAGGAGGAGGAGGAGGAGGAGGAGGGGGGGCGAGGAGGAAGACAAAGGAAATTTCCAAACACAAAGGGGAAGGTTAAAGGAGGAGCACTGTGAAATGCAGGCTGTGCTATTCTGGGCTGCTTGTCCTTCCCACCCTCTTCTTGGAACAGACCAGAAGGGAGGGGAAGGGGGAGGGGAGGGGGAGGAGGAAAGAAGGACGATTCCATAAATCATAAAAATGGAAGATCTACAAACTTCTAGAAAGAATTGTGTTCTGGTGCCTGATTTATTTGTATTCATTTTATAATGCATGTATTCTGTGCTCAATGCCAACAGAATCTTGTAGAATCCTAAGTCTAACCAGGAGAAAGTCCATTAGAAGGGTCTGCCAATGTTTTGTCATCTGTTCTAGGGAGAATGATGATATGCAGTTGATGATTTTTAAAAGACAGCATTATTGAGGCCCTACTTAAACATATGGTCATTTTCAATTAAAAATGAGTAAAAGAGAGTCTGAATCAAAAATGTGCTGCCAGTGTTCCCCTTTAATAACATTATTAAATCTCCCAAAAATGTAACTAAAATTCAACCAAATCCAGCCACATTTAAAGGAAATGGTAAGACAAGGAATGAATTTGCTGTAAAACATATTGGTTTCTCTGGATGGTATTCAAGCCGTAGCTACCCCATACTGTGAAGCAACCAGGGTCCGTGCAAGGTTCCGTGCCACTCTCCATCACAAATCTATGTCCAAATGAAAACTAGAGAGGAATTAAATATGATAGGTGCCACTTGAGTGCCAGCAACAACAGTAAGTATTGCTATAGTGTGATGAACACCTTTCAACTGTCTACAACTCATTAGGATCTTGTGACAGGCATTTTTTATTTTTCCACCGTTTATATTGTGAATACTGATACAAATGTTGGAGGTACTTGACCCCAGAAATGAGCTCTTCATTGCCCACCTGCAGCACAGACCTGAAACTCCCCAGATACACGCTTTGAAAACCTAGGTGTGAAAACTCTTGCCTCTCGAGCACTCAGAGTGGGAAAGTTAGAACTTGTAAGAACAGAAGTCCATCATCAGAACCTTCCTCAGCAACTGGGTGAAGTAGTTCATCCACGCTTCTTATGTCTACATCACAATAATGAAGGGCTTTTCTTCTTTTGCTCTGTTTTTCCTAATAGTTGGGATTTATATGACTTCAGAATATAAGTATCTCCTGTTATTGCCACATGTAAATGTCATGTGAATTTCCAGTAATTATGTTGTTATATTGCAAATTGGATTTTCTTATCTATTGTGGTTTATACAATGTTGATCAGTTAAAAAAATTATCTACTGGGTAATACTGCTGTCTTTGAAAATAGCATTGTGCTGACAGTGCCTGTCATTAGCAAAATAGATGTAACTGCCTGGATCTTTTATTTGAATTCTTTGGGTTTCCCTTTTCAGGTTTCAATATGGAAATTATTGGAGGGAGAGAAGTGCAGCCTCATTCCAGGCCATTTATGGCTTCCTTCCAGTACCGTGGCAATCATTTTTGTGGGGGGTCCTGATCCATCCACAGCAGGTGCTGACAGCTGCTCACTGCCACTCCAGGTGAGTCCAGGAAGAGCTACACATGTAGGATAAAGTTTAATCTATTTATTTGCTATTAATTAAGTACATTGAGATTAATAACATGAATAAAATATAACAAATAAAACAATATACTCCAATCAGTTATTTTAAAACATGGATTATTTACTTCTAGAATTTCCACTTAATGTTTTCGACATCAGTTGACCACAAGAAACTGAAACTGTTAAAAGAAAGCCTGTGTACATGGAGAGAGCACTGTGCCCTGCTTCATGGGGTTCTGAGATTAAATAATATGTTTATTTGGGTATTTCAGAAGAGTTGACACATTCAGTAAGCACAAATTCATTGCAGATGATCTTCATAGTATTTGTATTGGCCAGTGGATTTGCAGATTCTTGGTTCTTCAGCCCTAACTCTTACCCTAGACATCTGAGGCCCACAGTTTGGGAATCACAAACATAAAGGGCCAATGGGGGAAAAAACAGGATGTATAAACAGAGAACAAGAACAGGTCATTTGATATGGAGGATACTTGAAAGGAAATCTTTTCTGAAGATGTAGAACAACCACCCAAATCCCTTTCAGCCTAGGATGAATTATAAAACCAATCTTGGGATGCTGCAAAGACAAAAGTAGGAGAAAGCGCATTTGACATTTGCTGTTTTGTTTTTTGTTTCTGTGTTTGCTTCTTTGTGTTTCTTGCCTGGGTGGCTGAGATGGAGTCGTCTCCATTCCTTACACCACCACAGCGCTTCACTTGAGAATGTGTCTAAGCCACCATGCTTTCCTACCTGGGTATCAGCACTAAAAAAAACAAGTGAACTGACTTGCTTATCCCTCTTTGGATATTGTCTGATTGGCTCATTTTAATAGAAGCATTCAAACACACATTGGAAGTTTCAAAGCCTGCAACTAGGGAAGACATATCTTTTATTCTACAGAGTAAGTTGCTGAATTTCAATTTCACATAGTTACTTCTTAACCACTCTGCATCCCTATCACTCTATCCTCTCAACAGCAGTGGAAATTTTTATTCAATGCTGTGTGTGTCTTCAAATATTTGGTGTCCACTCAAATGGGCTATAGTTCCCCAGACACAGAGCTAAACTTATAAGTGCTCAAGAAATGTTAGGTGGAAAGAAGGAAACAAAATGGAGGAGTAGGAGGTAGAGGCTAAGTGTGAAACACAGTGCATGGTGTGTGAAGTCCTGATGGGAAGGCAAATAATATTAAGTTAACTTTTTAAAATTCCTCAGGTGGAGTTAAATCAAGAAAAATATCTTTCCTCATAGAACAGGGGTAAAGAAGACAATAATGAATATCTCAATTCTGATTAATGAAGCTCCTTCATGCAACTGAGGGCCAGAAACACAAAAGGTCACAAATGGCCAAACTATAGAGACTAAGAGTCTGCAGAATGCTGATCCTTGGACAGGATTCCTGTATTAATCTACACCCACCCAGGGCTCAGGGACCATTGGGGAAGATGGGGGTGGAAAGAGTGTAAAAGCCAGGGAGGAAGTACATGACCATATGGAAATAGAGTCTAACAAGCTCTTGGGACACTGCTCATACAAATCTACAGCAATGGTGGCAGCAGGCACAAGAACCATACAAACTCAAGCAGACAAAAATCCAGCATAGAACTGGGGAAATGGACAGCTGACCACAATCTTAAGAAATATTGCTGAAGAAATATTGACAACTGATTACTGCTGAGTGAAGAAGAGCTGATCTTCCTAAAGCAAGGGACTCTAGATAAGCTGACTAGACCTCAGTAGATGAACTTGCACTGATGGACATCTAGGGATACTAACTTGACACAATAGGCCTTAAGACAAATGACATGTGTGAATTCCAGTGGGAGGTGCTATGGGAGGGTGCCAGTGGGGAAGGGGGTATGAAGATGATTAAGATTGATTGAGATAGTCTGTATGAAATGCACAATAATTCAATAAAAGAAAAGTATCTTTCCAAATTGTGGGAAGGAAAGGGAGGAAGGAAGAGAAGGAGGAAGGGAAGGAGAAAGGGGTGAAAGGAAGAAAATAGAGAGAAGAAAGAGAGAAAAGGGAGGGAAAGAGGGAAAAGAAAGAAAGAACTGAAAGGAGTTCTTGGAGTTTAAAAAAAAAAAGTATTGTTAAATATCATTTTAAATGGCTGGCATAATAAAGAGCTCTAAAATACGTGGGTCGAATTTCCTCTACAGAACACTTGGGTGTAAAAATGTAGGCAGATCAGTGCTTGGAAAAATATTAAGCCTTATGAAATTCAAAATATTTATGAAACAGTTCAATGGTGGCTTCCCACAAATGTACTCACAAGTATCCTGTGGGAATAGTTTGCTAAGCCAGGCCTCCCTTTTAGCACAGGGGTGCAGTGGGTCAAATTTGCAGGGGAGGCTCCATCTCACCAACCTTCTACTCTGTTCCTTCTTAGTACCTTGGCAGTTGTCCCACCAAATATAAATGAAAATGGGTGCCAGGCATGGTGACATTCTGAAAGCCTGGGTAGGAAGATGGTTAGGTTGAGGTTGGCTTGGAGTACATAGCAAAACCCTGTCTAAAAAGAAAGAAAAATAGAACAAAATACTTAAAGCATTCTTGTATGATCTCATTTTCAACATTTGAATTTATCAGAAGCAAAACTCTTGCCATCTGTATCTATCCTCCTCCCAAGCCCTCACTCTCGGAGACATTCCTTCTCTCTCACCTGTCTAGCAGGTTATTAAATGGAACCTTCCATGGCCCCTTCCACACAGCCTTACTCCACTTCAAGCTCTGGAGAAAACCAATTGAATTATTTTTTGTTGGTCTTGTTTTATTTCTGTGGGTTTGGGGGATTCAAGCTAAGGTTCTGTGCATGCTAGAGAATCACTCTTGTACCACTAAGTACATCCACAGCCCAAACCAGCTGAGTTCTAACCCTGCCTATGTGTACATCCACCTAATACCTTCTTAGGTTTATTAATTTATCCAAACCTCAGCTACTTTTTCTATAAAATGAAGATCATCATAATACCTACCTCTACAGGCTGTTGTGAAATATTAGTAAAGGAAAATGTATAAAAACATGGTACAGAACACAAGGGTTTAACAGATATTATTGAGTTATTACTATACTGTCATCGCTGCCTTCCATGGTGATAACTGAGGGATTCATCTGATGATCTGTTTTTGTTGATGGGATGGGACTGGGAAGACCTTCCTTTCTGACAACCAACTCCTTTTCTCTCTGAGTCAAGAGAACCTCCAAGAAACAGGAAACTTGCCTTTGCTGCCAGACCTCAGGAGTGGATCTGAGCAGAGTCACTGCTCAGCTTCAAGATAGGCTGGCCAAAGAAACAAGATGCTTAGAGGAGCTTGATACAGAGAAAAAGAAGAGTCAAGAAAGAACACCAGACTTGGGCCAAAAACCCTGTGGTCATGTGTCCATTATGTGTGATATGGTCATCTTGGATCAGTCACAGCACACCTCCATGCATGGGAGGAATATGCAGCCCAATGACTTTAATATTGAGAAGAGGATTTTAGACTCCATTGACACAATTTTGGCAGTCACCTTTAGCAGATAATGAAATTTACTACATAATACTGTGGTTCTATTCTGTATGTAATTCCACTACAGAGCAGTTCAAGGTGGGACTCAGAAACCCCCACATGAATGCCTCCAGGTGTTTCTGAAACAGCTCCAAAGGACACTCTTAGAAAAAAACCCTCTGCTGTGCAAACCAATGACCCTGGTATTAGTACTTCTGTGTGAATTCAGATCTAGATTTAAATAAAGGAGTAGAGGGCGGATGAATAACTCAGTGGGTAAAGGCAGACCACCAAGCCTGCTGACCTGACTTGAATTAGATCCCTGGGACCCACATGGTGGAAGAGGAGAACCAACTCCCCAAAGTTGTTCTCTGACTGCCACGTGTATGCCACAGCACATACATGTACACACATATACAGAGACACACAGACACACACACATGCATACACTTGCACATGCACACAAAAAAATAAATATGATTTTTTTTTTCATTAGAAAAGAAGAAGAATCCTGGAACTCAGATAATTTCATTTACTCCACAGGCAGAAAATTTGACCACAGTAGGTCAGACTACAGTTGAAAATTCAGAAAGCATAATAATCTGCTTGGGTTGTTTTCAGTACTAGCCTGTCCCAGTGGAGACAAAAATAACCAAAACATTTCAAAGGCAACAGCTAATCAAGAAAATGAGGAAAACTAGAAATCTCAGCACCCACCCCCCTTCATCCGCATCTACCTTCCCCCACCCAGCATTTGTACCTCCCAGCTATCCTTGGGAGTGCTGTTTATGCACATACCCACCTTCCTGTTAGAGTGTTAGTCCTGGGGATTTTATATCATCCTTGCCCTCCAGAGCTTTGGGGTTTAGGCATGTTGAATTTGAATTTGAATCAGTCCTAAGAAATCCAATCCACATCCTATGAGAAACTTTATCCCCATCCTGATTTTGCAATAGGCAAACTTTTCAACAAATAAAGCTGGAATTCCTAAAATAAACCAAAATAAGCTCTTTTGGTAGAAACCAAGAAGGGGTAATTCCAGGCAGTCACAGGTCTGCCATGTGCAAACTCTCCCCCATGAAGCCATGTGCACATTCTCTGAACCTCAAACAACTATTCCTTCCACTCTCCGTACGTCTCTGCACT